CCGCGACCCGACCCCGGATAAGCGGTGGAAAATGGATGGATGGATGGATATTCTAAATATAGTGTACTCTGAAACTGATGTTGATTTATTTTAGGTGTTTAAAATACATCCTCAGCAGTACATTACGTTGCTCCTGTGCTGGTACTCCAGTCTGTTTCTCCAATCTACTGTAGGTAATACAAATAAGTAACTTCAATGTAAATATAAATGCCTTGTTTTAGCTGCTTTACTGAATGACTCAGAAGGTCTTTCGTTCCAGCAGCAGTTCGATTTTTGAATGAACACCTTTAGATGTGGTTTTTAGATTTAGCATCTTTCTGATGTCAATCATGTTTCATATGGCATTTCCTGGTGTTATTTATTCTTTGTAATGTGTTTTTGTCTGTTGCGCACTGAGGACTGTGTCTATTGTTGTCTGTATGAGTTTATGGTGGCAAATGAGTTTCCCCACCGGGTATTAATAAAGTTTTCTAATCTAATCTAATACTCTGACACTGGTACATTATAGAGAAGCACTACAGGCTACAATCGGAGCATTCGACCTCAGTGCTTGGTGTTAAGGACTGTGTTGTGGAGTGATGTAGAAGCGGTGTGTGTTTAGCAGTAAAGTCGTACCTTCAATTGCCATCATGTCCCTCAGCTCTTTGTTTAACAGCTCGAATTTTCGTTCCAGGTCTTGTTCCTCCAGCCTGTCAATCACAAGAGATGCATGTCAACATGTCTGACATCTGTGCACACGGAGGAGAGTTGTCTCAAACTTCCCTATTTCTTTGCTTTATTTGCGTGCTATTTCCTTAAAGTTTGTGAGTATCAGTTCGTATCAGAGGTCAAGAGTGGACCGTTACCTACAACTTCTCATTTTGCTTGCTTAACAGTATTCAGAAATCCTGCCCACTGACAACAGCAAAGTTATTCTCACATCGGGATCTTTCATTGGCTCATTTGAGTGGACAGGATTTTAAGTGAGAGATAGTGAGCACAAGGAGCAGCAGCATAACTTCATTCATTATTTCAGCAGCTAAATGTTTAGTTCTCTTTCCTCTGTCAAAGTTTAGAACTACCGTTGCTGCTTAAATGTCCCAAGATATTTGCTGCAGTGACGTGAAACTGGATGGAAACTAACAATTACTGAAAGCACTCTCTAATGGACCATCATTTACTAAATGAACATCATGCTGTATTGAAGAAGACTTGAAACTAGAGATTGAGACCATAAACTCATGTTTACAATGTTTACTGAGGTGATAAATCAAGTGAGAAGTCTTCTATACAATCAGACTTCTTTTTGCAACCGGAGGAGTCGCCCCCTGATGGTCAGTAGAGAGAATGCCAGAGCAGAACCGAAAGGTTGCCGCCTGGTGTTTACAGACAGTAAGCGAGAACTGCTGGACACCTTTAACGATCGATTCTAGTGTGTTTTAATGCTTCCAGCAGTGTGTGTCGTGGATGTCTTACAGTAGCTGCAGATGGTCCTGCCTCCTGATTAAAGCATTCTTCTTGTTGACCAGCACGAACCATTCCTGGATCAACCTCTCCTCCTCCACCTTGTCACTGCCTGCAGGAGAAAATCACATTACTATAACCCCCTTTGTTAGTCATAGTCCTTCTCTTTCTTTCCTACAATGGAATAATGGAGTTTCACAGTGAATGAATAATATCTATACCACAGCTGTTTAATTAGTGCCTTCACATTACAAATTATTCATTGAAATTATGTTCTTCCTTAAGGTTAATAATCTGTACAAGTTCTACCCTTGTTCCCTCTAAATATTACTGTCACCCAGAATAGCATGTGCTTTTCATTCATTGTGCACCCATCTGTAGATGATCTTACCCGTTTCCAGGAGTTGTCTGAGTTTCCTCTCCACCACACCTGCTCTGTTATCAATATGACTTTGTTCCGCTTCCAGGGCTTCTATCTGACTCCGCACATACTGGCTGGGGTCCTGGATACATTCATACACACACAAATAAACACAATTACCTAACAGAAAGTTAGGGTCACTTGTAGATATTCAACCCTGCAATGAAAAGAATGGTGGGTGACTGACTTGGCCCTCTAGTCGTCCCTCCTCGACTTCAGCCTCTGTTGTTTCTGTGAGACAAACACAAATACCACTTGTATGAATGAAGCCATGCTTTACAACTTTACTTTCAACAAAGGAAAAACATTCCAAATCACCAGGTCCAAATGAAGGTGTCAAAAAAAGGAGTTTAACAGTTTTTTTAAAAGGTGGATTCATTAATGTTTATGTTAACACAGATTTATGAAATCTAACCAGTGTCTGACTTCCTCCGAGTAATCACACTGTCTTCTTGGCCTGCAACAACCTGCAGACAAACAAAGTTCCTCATACATCACAGATAAGAGAAAAATGCAATGACGAAAATAAAAAGGCGATAAATGAATAAGGCGATTAGGAATCATACCACTGATATTTCTCCTTCTTCTAATGACCCACTCCTCCGCTGTGACCTACGCTTCTTGACCAGATCTGCGTCTTTGACATGAGAGAAACCAGTCTTGGACAGGAAATGAGTCCTTGGCGGTGCCAATGGTAGCTGAGCCCCAGCAACCTGCAGCCGTTTGGTTCTGGGAGGAGGTACAACATCCCTGGTTATAATGTCTGCCGCCTCTGTGGTGCCTGCAGTCCCGTTGGTGTCTAGACTTATACCCTCCTCTTGCAGCCTCTGGGTACAGTAGCGAACAGTCGCCTCTGGGTCCTCCTGGCCCTCCCGGTCCCCTGCAACTGCATAGCTTGACTCGCTGCTATCTCTCGCTATGTGGAGCACACTGAGCTGCTGGCCTGTGAAATGGGTGCGGATCTGGTTGAGGTAGGTCATGACAATGAGGCGGTCAGGCACTGCTAGCATGACCATGTCTGAAGGCTCCATCAGCCTGGAAATGCCAAGTTCGGCAAAGCCGTCAAAGGCCTGCAATTTGTAAAAGAAAATAGATCAGATTGGGAATCATCAACCAACGCGAGAAACAGTTATATTATGCAATGTTGGTCTATTTAACAATCACCTTCTTATTGTTGTGCTTGATGTCATACGGGTCCAGCATTTCAAAATTACTATGAACAAAAAGAGAGGACACATAAATCAGTGCATGCATTAAGAAAAATACAACACTCTTTCTATCTTTAGGCCAACTATTTTCAACAGCTTTCTCACATATTTTCTGGTTGGAAGTGATGTAAAATAGCACAAAAGGCAAGGCCGTTCCTCCAGGAGGTGCTGAAGTTGGTGATCTTCAGTCCCTTGTGACCCTGCGTGACGTCCTGACACCAGTCCAGTAGAGACTGACTCGATGTCACTAAGCTGGGAGTGGGTGAAAAGCCCTAGAACACAAACAATGACAATATTGGGGAAGGATCGTAAATAACTGCAGTTAATGATAATTCTTCAATCTGAGCGACATTTTGCACATTATTCTCAGTTATTTGATCAATTGTAATACATAAATATTGATAGGTGCAGCTTTAACATACTTCCGGAGAGGCAGCCCCATCTGCAGGTCTTTTCTGAGGTGTTGTTACTTCACTGGCTTGGTGGATGTAAGCAACTTGCGACTTCTCCCTTTGCCTGGAGAAACACACAAAAACAAAGCAAAGTGAGAATTGAATTCCACAATTTCTTTAAGAACATGTTTGTCTGATTATTGATGATTTTGTAAACCATGTTGATAATAAGACCACACCATGTTAGATAATTAGGAAATTAAGATAATTAGGAAATAATTAGGACATACAAATGAGAATTTATATTGTGTAGAGAGTTAGTTAGTTATAAGTATTCAGTATGTTTACTAACTAATCTTACCTTTCTTCCTCTAAACAACCAGCATCTACATCTACAGACACAAAGCCAAAGTCCAACTCTTCGTCCCTTATTTCCTTCCTTGAGTTTATTTCCACTGGTTCACTGTCTTTATCATCCTCTACATGTAGCCAGTCATCCTGAGAAGATGCAACAGTGGAAGAAAGAGACCTATCAACCTCTTCTCCCAGGACTTTTTCAATGTCAGCTTGCTCAGACACACACTCTGCAGCCTTCTCTGAGTCATCTGTGGCAACAGGTTTTTCTGTAAAGGTCCAGCCTTCAATGATTTCATCCAGTCCCTTCTCAGTATCTTCTACAGCATTGACCTGAGGAAATTCTTCTTCTCCCATTGCTTCCAACACTTCTCGTTCCAACTCAGATGCCCCATCATCTTCTCCTTGGATTGTGACGAAACCTCCTTCAGAGATCACACTTGAATCCAGCGATGTTGAGCTTTCCTTAGTTTGCTTGCCGGTGGCAGATGTATCCTCTGGGTTTCTCTGAAAGAATTCCATTTCCAAAGGGAATACATTGTCTGCCGGTGTTGTGCTGTCTGAATAAGTTGCACTGAGACGATTCTTGGCCCGTGGCAATGGAACTGGCAAGCTTGACTGTTCATTCTGTTGGACTGATTCATCACCAGTGGTGTCAGTTACTGTGTCTGGCAGGCAGGGAGGTGGTGAATCAGAAATTGTAGTGGCATCTGGGAATGACCCACTGAGACGTTTCTTTACTCTTGGTTTTGGTACAGGTAAGCTTGAAGCGCCTGGTGTCTTCTCTACTTGAACCCTGCCCTCGATGATCAATCTACCTCTCCTCAACTTCACGGGAGTCACTACTTCTATGGATGAAGAAGGTTGATCTATGGATGAAGAAGGTTGATCACCCAAAGGGGGAAAGCATTTGCTGTCTTGCACTTTTGACAAATCTTTAGTTGTTGAGGAAATGGATGAAGGACCATCTTGCTTTGCTGCCTGTCCCTCTTCTCCATGGGAAGGCTTGGATGTGCTCACCATAGCTGCAACGTCATCTGGGAAGGAGCCACTGACACGTTTCCTCACACGTGGCCGTGGCATACAAAGAGATGTTTGTTTGTCCTTGTCTGCTTCTGCTATCTCTGATGAATCTTCTATTTTCTGAGAAGACGTGATGTCAATCGTATCAACAGATGTGTCACCACCAATAATATTTGATTGCTTTATGTCGTCCCTAACAGTGTTTGTTATCTGGACTGGTTTTACAGACTCCTTGTCACTGCCGATTTTGCCAGATTTGCTTGAGGGCAATTTCTTGCCACGTTGTGGAAGACGTATCTTCTTGATGATTGAGAGAGAAGCAGTTTGCTCAACATGAAACATCTCTGGTTCAGGCGTTGGTGTGATGCTCTCAATCCCCTTTGTTTCTGAGGGAAGAATTACATGAGCAGAGGCCTGGACAGATGTATTAATGTCTTTCTTAAGCCATTCTGAAGTATGAGAGGTTTGCTCTGTGTGCTTTGAGCAGACCAGTTCTGTGTCTGCCTGTAGAGAGGCACTCCCAACAAAATCTGTTTCTTGTTTGATTGTTTGGTCTTTTCTTCCTACTGGTTGTGAAGGGATCATTTCAGTGGCTGTTTGACCAAGTTTATCAATGCTCTGTAAAGGTTCAAGAGCATCTGAGACAACAGAGCTTCTCTTACATGGTTGAGGAGGAACAGGATCCATAGTTTTCAAAGCAGAGCTGACTTGGGCTTTCAAATCCTGTTGGTCATTCGTTTTGGGAACAAATGTCTCTCTAGTCACACTGTCTTTTCTCCTTAGAGGCTTGCAAGGGGCAGTTTTCTGTGGCGTTTCAGGTGGCAAACTACCATCTCTTCTTTTCACACGAGGAGGCGCAACAACATCCATGGATATTTTCACAGATTCAACTTCTCCTTTCTGTCTATAGTCACTTTCTTGGGCATGACCATTCTGAGGTACACCAGGGATGCTACTGGCTCCTTTCTTTATCCGGCAAGATGGGGCAGTGGCAGGTTGTATCTCACCAGTAGCATCTTTCCCAAGAGATTGGATTGGAACAACCTCAGGGAGGAGATTGACCGACACAATATTAGATTTTTGTTTGCGGTCTGGGGTTAAACTATCCTTCCTTCTGAGTGGTCGTGATGGAATAGTGTCTTTTTCTTGATCAAACCGTTTCTGTTGAGGTTCTGGAACTTTTCTCTTGGGCTTTCTGCCTCGGACAGCAATGCCAGCATGTGGTCCATCTGGACTAATGTCCTGAATATATGAGGGTTTGTCCATGAGTTTCTCTCCGTGAACTTTGGAATCTATCAGTGACTCATTTGATGTAGGCTGCAGGGAAGTGGCAGAAATTTCTTCCATGTTTGTTTGTTGGGGGCTTAAGGAAGAGAAAGGACAAGCTTCAGAATTTGCTGTTTTTTGCCATATAGTTGTACCATGCACCTTATCTCCAACCAATTAATATGCTCAACTGAATAAGACAGTCAGCAAATCATATGACAAATTGTAAAACAAAACTGACCGTTTTCAATATTCTGCTTTACTTGTGTACATGCACACTGTCATTGAAACAACACAGCAGCATATAAAGCACATTCTTTATAGACAAAGTCGCCCTAAGTCTACAAGACTTAAAAAGACACCACTAAAAAAAGTTAACATTACCATTCCATATAACAATGCCAATCTTTACGGCCATCACAAATAGTTGACCATCACAATTTCCTGAGTAGCAAGCGCTCATAAGCAGAACAAGAAACAATGCTATCGCCAAAAACGCAGAACATATACACTATCACACCGTGCAACCAAACACTTTACTGGGTCATTGTCCCCCAACACTCACCCTTTATCCAGCTGTGATGAAGTTGACTCTGTTCTAACCTCATCCTGTTCTGTCTCAGTCTGTTGCCTTGCTAACAAGCTTTCAATGTACACTGTACAATGCGAGTCCTGCCCTGTGTTAGATATTTCCTTTGTATGCAATTGATCAAGAAAGGCTTCTTGTTCCTCTACTTGTTCACTATCCTCCTTTGATATTTCAGTGATATCTGACTCTGTCAGCGGTGGCCATTTCTTTATGCTTGCACAAACCAAAAACCTGTCATCACTGTCGGTAGTTGGTGATGGAGACGCTGATCGATCACCTTCCAAGTCCAACATGTAAGGCTCAGCACTTTCTGGATATTCAATGTTATGTTTGGTATGAATGTCTTCAAGCTGGCCCTCTATCTTCTGTATGGAAGTAGTGTTGCCAGCAAAATGTGTTGAAAACTCATCTGAAGGAGTCAGTGTCTTGTCTTTCAGATCCATAGAAGAGGCAGCCCTGGGTTGGTGCTCCACTTCAGCTAAAGTAGAGCTAGACGGCCCCAAAATGGATACTACTGTTTCATAACTGTGAGACATGGATACTGGAGTGAGTGAATGAAACCTGGAACCATGCAAAAACAATGGTTTCAATAAACATGTAACTAATTGTAGAAACCAGTGAGTACTGGAGAAAGTAAAATAAATTCCCATGCAAATGCTGTCCAGTTATTTTCTTTACCCCAAACTTTGAAATGTCAAAATCTGAATAGAAAAATAGAATGAGCATGATACATAATAATGTGGAATGGGAAATATCTCCATTTAGGGGTACCAATAATTGATGCACACTATGACGCATGCTTCACACTATTAGTTTCAGGCCAGTCTTACACCTACCCTTTGTGGAAAACACCAACAATAGCCTTAACTAATCCGGACGCCTCTTCCTCTTTTGCTGACAAAGAGGACTTTGCTTGTTTTTCTGTAATCGTTCCCTCTGCCTCCAATACTTCCCAACCCAAGACTCCCACTGGCTTTGATGTGTCCAATGGTTTCTTCCCTTTTGTCTGGGCTACCTCTGCTACTGTCCTTTCTACTTGTGATTTGCTGAGGACCCAGAAACCACAGTTTAAGGTGTGATCCACAGAACTCGGGCAGCAGCACGATACAAAATCGAATGAATTACAGCATTCACAGAGATACTGAAGTTTACCATGCACTGTATTGTCAAGTTACAAAAACTACTGTATATACAGTATGTCAAAACAGTCCATGTTAGGCAAGCACTAGACTGACCCCTTTCACAGCAAACAATGCAAGAGCACTGGGCTCTTTTACTTACCCGTTATCTACACAAAGGTCTATGTTTTGCTTTGCACCGCCTTTGAATTTCTCCTCTGTCATAAAAGCAAACATAGTAAAATACACAAAAAGAAACAAGACATAGAAAAGTGAATCTTCACACTGTGAATGTCTCACCATATGCAAGTGCTGTGCTGGGGAAGCTAAGAGATGTGGAAGGAACACCAGGCATTCTTGGGTCTTTGTGATATGACTGAGTTGACTGTGCATGAGGCAATTGTTGTGGTGTATGCTTCCCAGTAGAACAGTGGACTTGAATGATCATAGTTTCTTTCTCTGCTGAATTCAATTGTGAAATGCTGGGGAGCCCAGGGATTTGAGTTAAATGTGGACATGATGGAGCCATTGCTACCATGTACTTCATTTCTTCTTGGTCATGTTTGGCTGGGAATTTTGCAATGACACAAATCTTCTCATTCTGCAACTTCTCAGACAAGGACTCACTGTGTGTTGTCCTAATTTGTATATTTATATATTGAGAGCTAAGCATCCTTGCTGATGGGAAACCTGGGATGCATGAAACACATGGAGCAGACGTGTATAAGCTGACCATATTTGGTGGTCTGTTTACAACTTGAGCAGAAGGAAAACCACGTACTCTGGCTTCTTTTGGGCAGGATGTCACTAATGTCACCATGCTTTTCATGCTGTAGCAAGATAGCTGGTCCTGTTCAGTAAGTGTTAAAATCATTTCTGCCCTTTTCTCCTGAGACTTTAGCAAAATTGGTTTTGTTTCATTTAGCCACCCTGTCTTTGGGATTGTAGTCATGGATGCAAATCCTTTGAGACTTGAAGCACTGGAACAGCAAGGTACAAAACGTATCATATTGGGTTCAATCTTGGATTTGGTTCGAGGTGCAGAGGGGAACCCAGGGATTGTGGATGCCTCTGGACAAGATGGCACTAAGGCCAACATTGTCTTTGCAGATTCTCTGTCTTCATTTGGACTGCGCATTATGAATACTGTCTCCTTTGATGGTTTATCACACAAAGTGTGTGGATCAAAAATCCATTGGAATTTTGAGGCCCCTTCAAAGGATGCAAATCCAGGGAGATTGGATACTTTGGAGCAAACGGGTACAAGACTCAGCATATTGTATTTGGGAACAGATGCGAAACCTGGAATCTTTGATGCTCCTGGGCAAGAAGGAACCAAAGCAAGCATGTTGTTTGGTTTGTCTATGTTAATTGGTGAGCTGTTTATCCTAAACGAAATGCTCTTTTGTGGTCTTTGCATCAATGAACCCAGTTCAGCACACCATCCGTCTTCCTTGTGCCCTTCAACTGATGGAAATCCAGGTATGAGAGAAACTAGGGGGCACAAAGGAAGGAGGTTGACTACATTTAGGCCATAATACACCATTTTAGTGTTTGGAATAGATGGGAAACCAGGGACTCTTGTCACTTTAGGACAGGATGGTACACAGGAAACCATAGTCTTCATAATCTTTTTGTTATTTGATGTGTCAAATATGACCTTCTTCTTTGGTAGGCTCTTCAGCAATGACCCCTTTTCTGCTACCCATCCCACACTTATATCCCCATCAATTGATGGGAATCCAGGAATTTTGGAAACTTGCGAGCACAATGGTAAAAGGCTGATCATATTTGGTGCACTAATGTTTTTGGAATTTGGATGAGAAGGAAATCCTGGCGTCCTTGCCTCTTTTGGACAGGATGGTACAAGAGAAACCATTGCTTTCATTGCTTTCTTATCTCCTTCACATTTGTCTATCGATGACACCAGCTTTTCTTTTAATCTTGGTTCAAATAGTGGTTTCCTGCTCACTGTCCATTCTTTTGAAAAATTAGATGATGGAAATCCTGGTATTTGTGACACTTTTGAGCATGCGCTTGAAAGACTGACCATATTTGTCATGTCAACATTATTTATCCTGGGTTTTGGGACAGAGGGAAAACCAAAGATGAGTGATTCTCTTGGGCAACTTTGTGCAAGAGACACAACTCCTTTCATGTCTTCATCCAGTTTATCGTTGTCCGGTAGTAATATAGACTTCTTTTTCATTTGCTTCTCCCATAACGGCTGATGAAAAGTGTTCCAGTCTTTGCTGTCATCTTTCTGCATTGAAGGAAAACCAGGAATACTTGATGCAGCCGGGCAAGATGGAAGGAGATTGACAATACTAAAACCATTATAGATTACTGTAGGTTCCAGGGCAGATGGAAATCCAAGAATACAAGCTTCTTTTGGACATGTTGGGGCTAAAGCTGACATGGCTCTCATGTCATCATTCATGTCATCGTTGTGAGGTCTCTCTTCAATCATAACTATGTATTGTTTTGTCTGTGTTACCCCTAAGGGCTTGAAATCTGTAGCCCAGCTTTTGCTCAACGGTTCCATTAATGATGGAACACCTTCAATACAAGAGGTTTTGGGGCAAGATCTTACAAGGCTAATCATATCTGATCCATGATGTGCTATAGCAGGTTGTGTAATTGATGGGATGCCTGGTATGCAAAGATGTCTTGAGCAAGTTGGTACCAAAGCTCCCAGTTTAATTTCATTCTTCTCTTTTGGTGACGCTGTCATTACAACAAGTTCAGTTTTAATTTTGTTTTCCAAAAGTGGAGCCTGCTGAGATACCCATGATCTGTTGCTGGCTTCATCAATAGATGGTGCATCAGGTATACTGGATACACTTAGACAACTGGGATAAATATCCACCAGATTTGGTCCATAAAAAACTAAACTGTATTGTGGTGCAGAAGGAAAACCTGGATTTATTGCCTTTCTGGGGCAAGAGGGTACAAGTAAAGCCATTTGCTTCTTGTTCTGTTCATCATCCTTTAATGCATATGGCGGTAATATTTCCTTAATTTTTGATTGTTTCTCCCAAATTGGCTTTTGATCTATAAGCCAGTGTTTTTCTTTTATGGGTAATCTGGATGGCATGCCAGCAATGCTTGTCACACTGGGACAGACAACCAAGAAAGTGGACTGTTTGTATTGCATTTCAGGCTTCACATAGTATGGCACATATTGTGCATGAGGGTGGGAAGATGTTTTATCCACAATGTCATTATCCTCTGATGGCGTATCCCAAGTAGACTTGCTGTCCAGTAGGCATTCATCTGTTTGTTTAGCAGTAGCAGTGAATTCAAATATGTCGCTAACTGTTGGGTGTTCTGGCAATTGATCAACAATCCCAGCTTCTGTATATCTCTTCATTTCATCACCAGTGTTTAACATCATGGAAGAGAGACTGACCCTTTCTTTTGTCATTTCCATTTCTTCTTCTGATGTGTTTTTAGTTGCCTCTGTAGTCACCTTTGGTAGCTCTTCCCATAATATGGTCTGGTCTGTCGGACATTTTACTGTAGGTGCCTTTGGTAGCTCCTCCCATACTATGGTCCTGTTTGTGGGATGTTTTTGTAACCGCTGCTCAGCATTATTTATTTGGGTTTGGGATGAGAGTTGTGCTGCACCAGCAACAACTGGGCATGATGGCTGTAGTGAAACCATGTTTTCATGTCTAAAGAGAAGGTAAATTAAAGTATGTTAAAGTCAAAGTTTTCTATTGAAAGATGCCAGGTAAAATAATAATGTGTAAGAGCCTTCCCACAAGCTACATTGTAATTCTACATATTTTCATCACAATAGAATGCAAGCCTGGTACAGTGTACCTCAATCAATTGATGAGAAAGTAAGCAGTGCTTGACAGTATAATTACAACAAATTTACATATAGCATCGTTGAAAATAAAACTCTATATCACTACTCATTACCATTCTTATGATAGGTATTTTACACTAATGCATGCAATGTCAACACATGCTATTCACTCCAAACAGCCTGTATTAAACAACCGTCCACAAGAGCTAAAAAGCTACAAGCAAACAAAACAACACGACACAGCAGGTTGATTCCACAACTATAACAGCCAGTGCAGTAAAGCCAGCGTTATTTTTGAATGAAAAATTACTTCAAAATATTTTATATAATATCAAGAGTTGTAAAATATAAAAAACAAAGTGCTTGAAAGTAAATGTTGAACTGGATCTTTCCATAGAAATATTTTTGGATTTCTGTAAATCAAGAATTTCACCGACACAGAACTCGTCTCCAACAAGCAAATATTTCTTTAACAATTAATCTTTCTGTAGTCATCTGACTTCTACACTTAGCTTCAATGTGTCTTTGTTGGTTTTTATGTTTTATGTATTTATTGATGGTTTTCCAAACTGACTTGCACTTATATTCTGCTTCTGTTTTGTTATAAATTTGGTCTCTATAGCAAACCATTTTGCTCACAAGTGCTAAAGCGACAATGCTACTATGAATGGCAAGAAATGAAGCCTACCTCAAGAGGACATTATAAATTAAAACCATGCAACACACATCACTACTCTGATATCAATCTGACAAGAGCAGAGGCTAAGTATTAGCCTCTCTCATACTTACCCACTCTTAGAGTATCTAATGCACCCTTCATCCACAGTGTCATTAATGCTTAGTAATAACGCCTATTAACTCTACTGACAAAGCTTTATCTGACTCTCTATGGGCATGGAACCATGACTCTCCACAGTCACTACAAAAGTCTCTGCTTCTTTGCCCCTTTTCTTACATTGATATTTTAGTTTCTTGAATATCTTTTTGACCCCATGGGCTGACACAATGACAAGTGACAAGAGGGAAACACTGAACCACAGAATAACTCAAAGCTAAACAAAGTATGACACACAAGGAATGCAGATTTTGCAGTCAGATGGTGCTGAGATAAAGCAAATGCGTTATTGTGGAAATGCATCACCTCATTGCATCACCGTGCAAACCAAGGCAACCCACCTCTTCCTAACACTCAAGAATAGTGGCATGTCAGGAATGGAGTGCCACATTCTGCAATGCAAGTTTCTGAAAACAGAATCGAAAAGCAGATGTTTAAAAACCTACACTGCTGACATCACAAAGAGAACTCTAACTCACCCTTTTTCTACAACAGCTTTTTCTTCAGCCTCAATCGGTATTGGAAAGCCCTGTCCATCTTTACATCTCTCCAAAGCTGAGCACACATCGGATTTAGTTTTCTCTGTGTCAAATCTAATTGGACTGGCCTCATCCCATAACATCTTAATTCTATTAACTCTGGAGGATGGCTGGTCCACAGAATTTGATGATGGTAAGTCTTTGACAATGGTCTCGATGGGACAGGTTGATGACTCTATTGACATTCTTTGTTGTACATCCTCTGGTACATCTTGGCTCGGGAATATAAACAGTTTGGATCCCTCTCTGACAGAAACCTTACAAAAGTAACATTCTTCCAGTGACAGCTGTTCATTCGTAAGGTTTTCTCTTTCATTTTCATTTATTGTTGTTCCTGGCCACCCCTGTTCTGAATGGTGCACATGTGTGGATGGTACCCCAAGAACAGAGGCTTTCTTTGGGCAAGATGGCACAATATTTACCATATTCGGATTCCGGTTTATGTCAGGCATTGGAACTGTTGGGAAGCAAGAACTGAGAGCAATGTTTGGACAAGAAGTTTCAAGAGAAAGACTTGCCATTAATATATCTTTGTGGGGAGAACTATACTTTGTGTAAAATGAACTGCAGTCTTGCATCTTTACCATCACCACTGGCCAGCACCCTACTTTAGAATCATAAATAGCTGACACTCTTGAGGGGAAACCAATGATACTTGACCATTGTGGGCAACATTTCAGCAACTTTACCATATCTGGATGTTTTTCCACAATGGCATCAACAGCCTGGGATTGTGGAGCAGATGGAAATCCAGGGTTCAGGGCTTGTCGAGGACATGATGGAAGCATACTCAGCATGATTTCTTTGTCCTTATATGATGTATCCTTAACTGTAAAATCTTGGTGGACAACTCCATACCTTCTATTAAATGAGCTTTTCCAAACTACATCCTTGTCCACATACCAGCCATCCGAATCTTTTGCTATATTCTTTGCAGGTAGGCCTGGAATTTTACTGTGTTTTGGGAAAGTGGCTACAGTTTTTAACATGCTTTGAGGCTCTCTCATCACAGCTTCCACTTGTCTCTCTCCTGCCTTCGAGGGGATTCCAGGAATAAATGAGTGTTTTGGACAGGGTGGCAATATTGATACCATAACCTTAACCACCGCCTTTTCTGTAAAATATATTTTATGATCATGTATTACTGACAGTCTCCCTGGGTTTCTTAATGGCCTTTCCCATGCTGGCATTTCATACACATTCCATTCTGCCTCATCGGAATAACTGTAGTATCTAGAGGGTATTCCACATATGCTGGAATGTCTTGGACATGTAGGCAACAGATTGATCATACTTGGTATATCTGCTAACACCTGACATGGCACAGATGGAAAGCCTGGTAAACAGGCTGTCTGTGGGCAAGATGGCAATATTGATACCATATTTATGATCATATCACAATCAGAATAGAACACATTAACATCCAGTAAATGTAACTTAAATGCCGACTTCTCCCTAGGAAGTAGCATCGGCTTACTTTCCATTAGCCACTCTGATTGTTTGCTGGTGTCTCTTAGTGGCATTCCAGGAACTCTAGATTCCTTTGTACAACTTGGCAATAAATTCACCATAGTTGGGCCATCTGTTATTGTCAGTGTCAGAGCAGACGGAAACCCAGGGGCACTAACATTCTTAGGACAAGAGGGTAATATTGAACTCATACTTTCAGCAGTGTTTATATCAAAACACAAAACTGCATTTAGAATCTGTACTTCCTTTATGATAAATGGACTGTCCCAATGTAAAATTTTAGAAGCAAACCATTCATTGCAGCTAGACAAACAGAATTTCTGTCCAGTCTTTGAAGGCCAACCAGGGACTCCACTGTGTATGAGATATGAAGGCATTATATTAACCATGCTGGGTTCTTGTGGAGCAGAGGGTAAGCCAAAAATGTTGGCTTTGTTTGGGCAACTTCTCAGCATATCAACCATATCTTTAGGGATATCTGTGTCTTTCAGTATCCACTGAACAAGGTGAACTTGTGTTTTCTTCTCTGGTCTCTTGATGATCAACTGCCTCAAGGCATGCCAATCTTTGTTGTCTGAAATGATTTGATTTTGAGACAGCATTCCAGGAATTTGGGTCTGTTTAGGGCATATAGGTACAATACTGACAATACTTGGTAACAGCTTCTGGGGTCCTTTGGGCATACCTACGAGGCAGGTTCTCACAGGGTATGAAGGAAACAATGCCACTGTACTTACTAGTTCTCTTTTGTCTAGATCCTGACTTGTACCTGGGTAATTGTCAGGAATAAAGACTTTCCCTTTACTTAAGGGATTCCCTATTAACATTTGCCTGGTTATATCCAAACCCTCACCTTGAGCACCAACTGGCTCCTTAGAGATAAAACCAATGACTCTGTTTTTTCTTGGGAAATTAGGATCTTGACTTGGTGCAAATGGAACACTGGGCATAATTGGTTCTTTTCTTGGCACAGAGGGAAAACCAGGGATGGTTTCCTTCCAGGGACAAGATTGTAACATATCTACCATATGTTCTTTATCCTCATGTGACTTTTCCCGAATCAGAGTAGGATTACTTCTCAATGGTCGATCTAAAATAAGTTCCCTTAAAATATGCCAGCTGTCGTTATATGCCATAACTCCTTGTCTACCAGGCATACCTGCAACCATTGTCTGTTTAGGGCATGTAGGGAGAAGACTAGCCGTAGCTGAAGCCTTGTGCAATGGTGCAGAAGGAAACCCTGGAACACTAGCCTTTCTAGAACATGTTGGCAACATGGCCACCATGACTTTAACCATATTAGTATCAGTAACAGCTTGCTCCTGAACACAAGACATATGTGAAACAAATGCTTCTTTTATCTGCAAATGTTTCTTCCACAGAGAACAACTGTCCCAAACATTATTTTCAAACCCATTCACTGCTCCAGCAGAAGCTAACCCTGGAATCCTGCTAATTCTGGGACATATAGGTAAAAGACAAGTCACATTTGGCTCACGTTTCAAAGCAGATGGGAATCCAGGAATACTGGCAGACCTCGAGCAGGACGGTGTTAAGTCCACCATTTTTGAAATTCCTGTACTACCCTCATAAAGAGAGCTATAGTCTGAATGCAGGAGTATAGGAAATCTGTTGTTGGATAACCTCTGAGGCAATAACCTCTTATCAGGCCAAGCTGTAATTTCTGACTGATATAAAGATGACATGCCAGGAATCTTGGAATATTGTGGGCAACTTGATTGTAACTTAATCATACTTGGAATGCCTACTGTTCGTCCAATCTGAACTTCAGGCTGTAAAGTGGATGGTGAATGAGAAATAGAATCCCATGTTGTACATAATGGACCAAGTTCCACCTTAGATATGTACAAGCACATTTCTTCTGTACTGGCTGCTGAGCTTGCCACATTTTCAGTTCTCCCTTTCTCCATAGAACATTGTGGGTCGAAACAATGCACATCAAAGCTTTTTGTGGAAGATAATGCAAGATCCACTTTAAATTCTTCTCTTTGTTTTGATGAATTGTCTACTGTGGCTTGCTGTGCTGAGAGAAACCCAAAAGAGTCCAATCTTGAAGAGACTTGGTCTGAGGCAGTCATGTTGCATACGGTTTTCTTATCTATATTGGGTATTGGAACAACAGGGCTTATTTTTCGAGTGTCACTTTGTGGCTTCTCCTGCTGTGAGTTTTTCGCAATGGACCATTCTCCAGACTGAGCAGCCATGCTCTGATTTCTGAAGGAATAAAGTATACCAAAGTTTGATGTCAGAACAAAAAGGCTGGTGTGCTTTTAAAAATGGGGATTTAACTGACAGAGTAACACGCTACACTTACCCCAAATCCATAGTTACAGCTTCTTTTTTATGGGCCACTCCTATCCTTCCTGTCGGTTTTGTGTCAGAGGTTGTAGTAATTTGAGGCAAGTGCAACAAAGGTCCCTGGAGTGATCTGGAAGTTGGTAGGGGGTTGGTAGGAGAAATGGGTTTGTGTTGAACAGGCCCTGGTTGGGCTATTGAATTTCCTAACTGAATGGACATCATGGACGAGTGACTCCCCGGTTTAACCAAAGGCCCCTTGACTGAAGCAGAGGTATAATCTTGACAATCAGGGTTTAGATTAGGTGCCGAAGCAAAGGGAGGAACTGTTGGCTGAATGCTCGGGAATGTCCTTGTTGGCCTTAATTCTGTTTGATTCATCTGTGTTTTTGGCATCTCAAAATATTTTAGCCCTTGGGCTACGGGCTTTCTTGGGCTTAGGGGCAGGAGTGAGGCCATACTCTCAGGTCTGAGGGACAAACAAATGAGGATCAGAGTTATGACGTTATGACGTAAGGAAAGTCTCTACCGCAGTAATGCAGTCCATATCCAGGCCATATTCGCAGAATTCCACTGAACAGCACACAAGCCAATGAGCAATGTAACATGGAGCTACAAAGGATAACAGGAGATTCAAACCAGAGTCACGAACCAAACAAGCATTTTGTGATAAATCACGGAACGAATGACCAGGCAGCCAAGCAGCCACAGCCTTTTCAAATAATACACTGAAACCACACTGCCAGATCATTTGCCACTTGCTGTTGTTTTTGTTAAAATTTCAATGTACAAAGAATGTTTTTTGAAATTCCACATCTAGGCAATTTCACACGCAGCTCAACAAGCAGTGTAATGACACATTTTTTGCAGTGATGAAACAGTCACATATTATAAGCAGCAGAATATGCTAAACAGAGGGTACCACATTCTTGCATCATTTTACATGAAAGATCTAAGGATTTTTTTATATCAAAATGAGATATTTAACTTCTTCCGTGAGACATGCGAACCATTACAAATACATTTCAATGGTAGGGCTGGACCCGAATACTCAACTATTCAGTTCAATGTTTGTTGGGTAGGTTTGTTCTTTTTCGTTTTAATTTTAAAAATAATATTTTGTTCTTCACCAGTCCATTCATTTACTTTGGCTTCCCCATTTTGCACTGGCCGGGTAACAAATAACCAACGTATGAGCTTGTGAACTACGAACGGTAGATGTGAAAGCTTATATATCAATTATACAAATCAGCAAACCAAAACAATTATCTGGAAACTGCACAAAGCTGCAGAGTGGGGCTACTAGCAACCCTTTCACAGGTCATTTGATTCAATGGTTATAACAAAAATATTGCTTGGCTTTACTTTGCATCATTTGCTGTGGGCTCAGGCTCACAATCTGGTTTGCCAGGAGAATCACAGACACAATCCCTTCCTGTACAAAGTGTTCTGTGCTCATCTTCAATATTGACCAAAGCCCTGGACCACATTTCGCCTACAATTGCTGGGCTGAACCAGGACAAATCATGTCTAACCTCATCTAAGCCTCAGATTTAGATGCAGTCCTGGCTGACAGCCTTGTAACACTGCAGTCTGCAAAAAGAGGAAGACTACATACTGTGGGCTGCCTGCTCCTACATAGAGCCACACAAGCCACCATTTTAATACAGTGAATATTTTTTGTCAATGTAGGGTCTAGCAACATAAACCCATGTTTGTTTAGAAAGAAATATCAAAATAACAGACTGTATTTAGTTTCAGGGCCGAAACTAAATATATAAAAACATAAGAAAGGATACAAATAAATAATGTAATGCTAGATTCTCACCATAAATAAATAAATCACAAATTAAAGGAGACATTGAATATATAAATGTTAAATTCATTATTGTATTACAAAGACTTCAAGTAGCTTATAATGATGCCATGAGAATATTACTTAAGAGAGCGAGATGGTGTTTGTGGCTGCAGGAGTCAATACTTTGCGAACTGTTTTAAGAAATCTTATGTATGAATTTATTTGCCGGCTTAATGACTCTGAAAATTGAATCATCTTGGTTTTATCAAACATAAGTTTTGGTACTACGCGCTACCAGTCCCAGCTGTGGAGACATTGGTACAGCTGTCTCTTTGTACGGCATTGGTAGGCCATTGGATGTAATTTATTCTATGTAATGTCCTGTCTTATCTGGACCCTGAGTCTGAAATAAAAGTTTGTATTTATGTATTCATTTTTATATATATATATATTTAGAAATTCACATTTGTACATTTATTTATTCATTCTTATATTAATTTATCTATTTACGTATTAATTTGTTAAAACATTTATTTATCTATACATTTTTATTTATACTTTCATTGATCCTTAATTTAACTCTGACAGTCTTACAGACTTGCTTCTGATTGGCTATACCCTTCCAGGTGTTCCAGGGGTTTGCTAAAGGCTGGCCTAACTATGATGCTAACCGGCGCTATGAACAAGACAGGCACAGAAGGACTTAGCAACTCACTTTCTTGTTCCCATAGGCAGAAGGTGGGCTACCTGGTCCAAAGATACCCGAGGGCCAAGCACCGAAGAGAAACAGACCAACAACGGGTATCTTTCGTACGCTTTGCATCATTAAAATCACTCCTGAAAACTTTTGAGATGAGAAACCAAACGTGTAATTTTGAATATTAGCAGTTTTAGAAAAAAAACGTATGTTGAATAAAAAAGTTACTCCAACGTTTTCACAGTTAAGAAGCTAGCGACTGCAGGGACTGCCAACTACTGTAGCCAGCCATCCAGTAAAGCTCACAGACCATTTCATTTGTGATTTAATCATTCATTTATAGTGACAATTAAGCATTCAATTAAGAATTTAATTAATATCATTAGATATGTTTTTATATATTTAGGTTTGGTCCTAAAAACCCCCAATATGTATCTCTCAACAAACTCTATAATCAGTCAGCGCAGATCTCCTTTGGCTTTTAATACAAATATAGACCTATGTCTTTCAGTTGCCAAATGCAAGTATAAAATAGAATACGATATTATAAGCACTGTTCAAATAATTTGTTGCGATGTATGATTACTCAGTAAAAGTTATTAGCAGTAAAATACATGCAGTGCGATTAACGTTTGATGGAAATCCTATCACTAAAGGAAAAATCGACCTCTAAATGCTCGAACACTGTTAAATACATGTAGCAGCAATGTGGTTGTATTTCCAGACAAATTTTGTATTTTGTTCAAATAATCAAAACAAACAATTGTAATCAGTAATCAAGATGTAACAGGCAAGACAAAGAAAAGTTTCATTGTTCAGCGAAATGGCATTACTGGTCGTTGAGATAAAATGTATTGTTCTGCACTGTTGAAAGGAAGACAATGTCACTCTTCTTCTTGTTTCTGTTTCATTTTTGTATTTTGTTGCTTGTTCGTCAATATCCTGCCTCTTAGATCTTTTTTTACTAAATTATTTTGGGAATTACTTTAGTGGTTTTTAATTTGAAAAGTAGATAAATCAGAAATTTGACAAATCCAGGTCCACTCACTAGCTTTTTTGAGACCTTTCAACCCTATCACATGTTCTTCATCGGTGAAGGTCTCTCAGCTCCAACCACTGATGAGTTTCCTCAGCTGCTATGAGCAAACTACTCATTTAATACATCTGACACCACAAATTGATGCCATTAACAGTGTTGGAGTATCCGGGGCGGGATTAGTCCTTTAGAGCCATGCCAACCACACCATATATTAAGAAAACACCAAACCCGATAAAAAGGCAACCTTTCATATGAACTCACCCTGCTGATGTCTTCACAACTTCGATTCCAAAACGTCCGTCTCCTTTCCGCTCCGAAGCCCTGGACGACTCTGGCCTCCGGCTGGCCGGCGCTCTGGGATCAGGGGCTGAACAGCATGAAGTAACACACAGTTATCCATGCAGTCGTTGTCTAAAGGTGTCACTTATTCTACTCATTGTGTGTTCACGCTCACTTGTGGGAGTCGTACACTGGTTGTCCTCTTCACTCAGCGTGCTCAACTGTCTTTTGAATTCTGAAACGAAAGAAAAGGATAGAAGGAATTAAACAGGGACTATACGCGATAAGCTCGATGTTCATATGGCACCATATATTATGTATCAAGTGTTTAGCTGCTTTAATGAAAACAACCAGCAGGGGGAGACGTGTGCTTGTACATTGGTGGGGTTTAGTCACTCGGCATGGCTCCTTTTTGATTATGTACCTGTATCTTGGTCACTGTGTGAGGTTGTGGCAGTTTGGGATATATGAGGCTGAGAGGGAGGAGGAAGAGGAGGAGGCCCAGAGAGCACAAGAGCAGAGGAAGGACTTAAAGGAGAAGGTGAGAGGGTCTCTACTGTAGGGATGCCCTGGGGTCTCCAGGAAGGAACCAATCCAGACCCTCCCTGGGGTTTCTGCTCCAAAGAGGATGAAGCTGATAGAGAGGAAACATGATGGGGGCAGAGAGATGATGGGAAGGAGGAGAGGAGTGGAGGGAATGGAAGGTGGAATATCAACGACACATGTGCTTTCCAATATCAGTCCATCAGGCATTTCTCCAGTGTTAGTTCTGTATGTTTATGGTATATGTAATGAAAAGACCATTACAAACAAAAGCTCTTTTCATAGTGAATCCACTAATACATTCTCACCAGTGTCCTGATTTATTACATAGAGAACAATTTCTATGAAATCCATGTCTATATTGCAATATAAACATACTTATAATGCATCATAGTCTTATTAAATCTCTGTATAATCATAGTCTTAAGCACTCGTAAATATCCATAATGCTTTATAACAATAATCATACCTCATCATAAAGCATATTACAGTGACTTAAATGGTCAAGTATCATTAGAATTCATAATTGCTAGTCACTCAATGACATTTATGTTATAATTCCCATATTTGTAATACATTCTAATCATGTTATAGTGCGTTATAATCTCTGTTAAAATGCATTCTAATGTGATTTTTTGGAGTGGTCGTTGGT